GAGCGCCGCCGCGCTTCCCAAGCAGCGCACTATCCAGTGCGCCACCGGGCCGGCCCTGGTTTTCTTGATAATAGTTTTTACACTGGTTTCCCTGGTTCTCCTTTTCTTCTCTGCCCACATCTCTGCAGTTTCATTTATAGGTTCTCCTTTTCTCTGGCCCTTTCTCTTTTTTTCTCTCCTTTCCACAATGTTTTAGTGCCATATATAACTAGTACTGCCCTAGGGGCTAGACATAGGGGTCAGCAAAGCAGGCATTTATTTCCCTATTAAGTAAGTACATGCTAAATATCTTTGCAAATATTGGTAAGTGTTGAGATCATGCTACATAATTATATTTCAACACAGTACTTGACTGAGAGGTCTTCTGAAGGGGGAGAGACTTTTATTTACCCTTGAATATCCAACACAGAGAATAGCACCTGTCACAGCATGGGCTCAATAAACAGAGATCATGCTACATAATTATATTTCAACACAGTACTTGACTGAGAGGTCTTCTGAAGGGGGGGGGAGAGACTTTTATTTACCCTTGAATATCCAACACAGAGAATAGCACCTGTCACAGCATGGGCTCAATAAACATTTGCTAAATGAATGAACAATGTGAGACTTGGTGATACCTGGGAAATACATCAGTATAGAACTGTGTTTTCCATTACAATAGACACTACATGAAATTATTTAGATTTAAATTAATGAAGAATAAATAAAATTAAAAATTCATTTCTTTAGCTACACTAGCCAAAGTATACATTGACATAGTATGTGTATATCTATATATATATGTAATATATACATTGTAAGTGTACAGTCACTACAGGTAGCTGGTGGCTACTGTTATTGGATATTACAGATTGTAGCGCATTTCCATCATTACTGAAAGTTCTGTTGGACAGTACTAAAGGATTGTTACTGTGACACTCCATTGTTCCAGATTGTCATCCTGTTATTAGGTCTGTTCTTTTTATGGGTTCTCTGCCTCTTTTCCTTGTCAGCTATTACTTCTTCCATCTTTTAATCTTTTGTTTCACTGTTTCTAGTTTTTAACTCAATTAACCAAGTTTGTGACTCGGCCCATAGTCTTTCATTTTTTCTGGAATTTCTGATTCTATATTGAATTATACATAGATAAATCTGCTACATAGCTAAATTGCAGATAAATGGAGATGTTTTGTAAATGGTTTCATGACCTTTTTTGCATGGGTGTTCTCTAAAGCAATTATATTCATACTCATTGTTTTCCCAGTGTGTTCTCTTAAAAGTTTATTGATTGTAAGTTGCTTTCTTCCCTACAGTTTGCAGTCTGTGCTGGAGGATCTCCTGGTTGCTACTTCTGATGGACTTCTTCATCTTATTCACTGGGAAGGAATGACAAATGGAAGGAAAGCCATTAATCTTTGCACAGTACCCTTTTCAGTAGATCTGCAGTCATCTAGAGGTAATTATACTTTCTACATGAGGTAGAATCAATTTAATATTTGATGTAATGTAGTTAGATATTTTCTGTGGATGAACATTGATTTCTTTTTCCTCTGGAATTGGTTATACAAGGGGGGAGAAAGAGTCATTCACTAGGAAAGGGTAGTTTGTTTAGCATTGTTAGGTTAGGTAGTTATTTTTGCCCTTTTAACTATCCTTATAGGGTTTGCAAGAAAAATGTGAGAATAATTTACTATATTTATAATCCCACTTCATGTTCTTATTTCTTATCAGTAGGTTCATTCCTGGGCTTTTCTGATGTGCACATTAGAGACATGGAATACTGTGCCACACTTGATGGGTTTGCTGTTGTGTTTAATGATGGTAAAGTTGGATTTATTACACCTGTGTCAAGTAGATTTACTGCAGAGGTATGGCTTGAGTGTTTATTTTCTTTATTATACATGTATTGATTTTACTCTTTGTTATTAAATCCCTTTCCATTTTTTGTATTGCTATAAGATTTTAGGGGTTGTTGTTAATTAATTTTTAAATCAAACTATGCATATGAATAGTGTAAATAAACAAAATTCTATCAGAAATGCTGTTGTCCTCCCTGCTCTCTTCATGTTCGATTTCCATTCTCTGAGGCAACTACTTTTTATTCCTTTATTGGTTATTTTGATATTTATCTCCACTACTATGAGTTTTCCTTTAATTTTCAGTTTTTAGGCTGTGTTTATTGACTTTCTGCTGTGGAAAATGACCATTTATTTCCCTCTTTCTTGCTCCCACCATAAACACATATTCTTCCCATCTTAGTATTGTTACTGTGATTTTAATTCTGTTACTGTGATTTTAATTCGGTTACTGTTCATTGTTTATTGTTACTGATATGTAAACCCTGCTAGTACCTGAGCTATGTAGGATGTTATGATTATTTTTCCTTTCTTACAGATTTTCCCTCCCATTGGGAATTAGTAATTGCTTTGTTCTTTACATTGCTTCGTTTTTATGTATTAACACTTACTCAACCCAAAACTGTCTGCCAACTGTGTAAATACCCTTTCAAATCTTTCAGATACATTAGGTGTTCTATCCATTTCATCTTCTTGAAGAAATTGCTCTTGGAGCCTTCTGGCTTACTCCAAACTGGACTGGTTGCTTACTGTACACTTCTAACACAGCTGTATTTTTTGGCTTTTTATCACCATGCTGAGGATTCCCTTTACTCTTTTATTTATATAGGATACTTTGATAGCTTCTTGGAGCCTTCTGGCTTACTCCAAACTGGACTGGTTGCTTACTGTACACTTCTAACACAGTTGTATTTTTTGGCTTTTTATCACCATGCTGAGGATTCCCTTTACTCTTTTATTTATATAGGATACTTTGATAGCTAATTGTTAATTAATATATGAATAGTTAATATATGGATTTGGCTGCTGTGACAAATCCAAAATAAAATTGAATTCATTGAAAACTCTTGAGTTTTGTTGGTCTTCACCATAGGATGAGATGACTAGGTTATTTCTTTGGGGGCCCCCTATTTTTAAATTTATTCCCTTCCCTCTTTCCTCCTTTGTGTTCCCTTCCCCTCTCCTTTCTGTCTCCAGTGTTTCATAGAAAAGATTCCTGCTTCTTTCCAGAGGATATATACCTGGCTGCCCCAATGTTCTGAGAGTTGAGTTATGGAAGTATTACTTCTCTCTGTGTAACCGAGATGAAAAAAAGAATTACTCAAAGTAACATGAATAAGGCCTGGAGGGACTGCAGCCCATCAGGGTAGCAGCAGCCCTGATTCAAAACCAGCCTTTCTTTTTATTGACAAGACAAGGAAGTTTCACAAGAAAAATCAGTTGATTCAATCATCAAAGAAGGACATAAAAACAGGCAGTATTGCAGAAGTAAATTATGGCTAAGTATAGCTTTAAGCAACTGAAACTAGTAATAGCAGTAAAATTAACAGTGAGTCATTCCAGAATGCAATTTGTAAAAAGCTAAGTCCGATCCACCAAACAGCTTGTCCGTAGCAAACATTTTCTTTTCCACATACTTCCCTACAGCGATTTCCTTAGCATATTTAAACAGCATTCAAGCAGTTTCCTTAGCATATCTTAAGAACAATCAGTAGGTTAGATAGTCAATAGTCCTTCCAGCCAGAATCAAACCAGGAATCAAACCAGTGACCTAAAATAGTCAAAGTACACAATCCCATCCCTAAACAGTGATTAGAATTGATTAGATGGCTTTCGCCAAACTTATCTGTGGACTATTGTCCTCTGCTCAAGGGCTTTAGCCCCATGCATGCATTTACCTAAGAATCCTATTCTAAGGTTAAAGGAGAATCAAGATTTCTAACCCCTCAACATGGAAGTGTTAGGATAGAGGGTCCAAATTCTAGGTGTGGACTTTCACTTTCTATCCCTGTTTTCAGTGTGGTCCATAGACATCTGGGTTTTGTTTTACTCCAAAGTAAAATGTCTAGTTTTCTGTTGGAATGGAGATGAGGTATTTCTAGGCTGCTCAGCATTGGGGAGGTGTTCTGAGAGGACTCAGCTACTTTTTAAGTAGGCTTCGAACCATTCCTACTGCTTTTAATCCAGCCTCTCAGACACCTGAATTCTGAAGCTCTTCATGGACCCTACAATGTAATTTAGCTGTTTCTCAGCATTCTTTATTACCAGTTAAAGATTCTTCTCGTGCGTATGCTTTGCAGCTTCCAAAATTTTCTGATGCTGTCTCCTCTCCCATTCTTTTTCTTTGCCAGTTTGTTTATGGGGGAAAAAAATCTTTTCTGTTATTCTGTATGCTGTCATTAACTGGAAAGGATTTTAAGTTTTAAAACGCCTTTTGTTTTCTACTTGGTATCAGCTTTTATATTCCTAATAAATATTTCCTGTTATCAACTTTATTCAATAGTAAGGTACCAAATAATACATTTATGATAACTTATGTCAATATAGGAATAATAAAAATAAACTTTTGAAAAATTAATTTTTTTTACAAGGTGCCTGTATGTTTGTAATTTTATTTGGGACTTAAATATTAATACAGAAAACAAAAATATTAGGGCTAAAGAGTGATTGTCTCTTTTCTCAGTACTTTCAAGTTTGAACAAAATATACTCATATTCTCATTAGTATGTGGTTAAATAAATTTTTCCAATAAACTAAAGATTCAAATAAAAAAGCACATTATTAAATAAGTTATAAATAGAAAATATAAATGAACAAGAAAATAGTACATTTGTATTACTGATAATTGGGAAATAACCCATCTGTTAAATGCCATTTAGTTTATGTGAGATTATGCCACTCCTCTGTTCGGAATCCTTCAGTAGGACTAGGAATTAGGACAAAACCTCCTACTGAGGACTACAAAAGTTGGGGAAAACATTTTTTTAATATGTTTGAAGGTTTTGGAAAGCTAACCAAATAGTGAAGAACTGTCAGGCTAGGGGAGGCCAGAGACCCAATGAGCGAAGCCGAGTGTTTGAGTCTACAGTGAACATGAACAAACTAGGTATGTGTGACAACATAGATCTCACAAACATGTTGAGTGAAAGCCGACAGACACAAAAGACTACATGATGAGTATAATAATAGCAAGCAAGTTAAATGCAATTTCTGCTATTAAGAGGCAGAAATTGCATTTATAATTATATTCTAACAAGAATGTCATCTTTATTTAATTTGAGTTAGGGATTGAATATTCATTTTTCAGTGTTTTGTAAATAGATTAACTAGCTCTGGACTGAGTTTATTGAAGAATATTTATTGAGCCAGTTAATGGAAAATTTGGCATTTTAAGGGAGCATATTCAGATAGTAGTCCTGATAGGATATTTTCCTATGCAGATGAAACCAAATAAAGCCTTGTTTGAGACTGTATGTTTATTGAAGGAGAATTATATTGATTACAGTAAATTAGGGGGAATGATTTTTAAGCCTTAACAATTTTTCTTTATTATAGCAGCTTCATGGAGTTTGGCCACAAGATGTTCTTGACGGAACATGTGTAGCAGTAAATAACAAATATCGACTAATGGCATTTGGTTGTGCGAGGTAATTGATATAGACATCTGGATTTTTAAGTTATTGCCCAAAATAATGTTTTTTTTTCAATGTAAGATGTTTTTAACACACTTGTAAACTTGATCATGCCTATCCATAATTTATGTATCAGCCTTAATATAAAATCTAAAAGTGTTTTATTATATTGAACTAAAGTGAAGGATAGATTTTGTAGGTTGATCATTTCAGTTTGTAAAAGTAATCTTTTCAATATCAGGAAATTTAGTTAGAAGTTAAAAAGAATAGATCAGTTAAAATTTAGGTTCTTCATTGTTTAAAAGAGGATCTGGAAGATTTTTTCATTCTTTTAATAATCCTTTCTTTATGAAACATCAGTGTTGACATTGCTTTCGAATTAGTAGGTGTGCCTTAGTTAATGAGCAAATTTAAAGCTCACACATAAAATCAGTTTCTTGCTTTAATTCATATAATGGAGGTTTTAGAAATAAAGTTGAATAAAATTATTCATTCAACAGATATCTTTGTGTCTATCCTGTATCTACCAGGCACAGTTCTAAGCACTTTAGGATACTTTAGAAACCAAAGATACCTGACTTTGAAATTATATTTTAGATCAAATAAAAAGATTGTATCAGTTATAGTAGTACCTTGCAATGTGTATCATGCTTTTTTAGTTTTCAAAACTGTTTTCTAAATATAAAGTTTCATTTTGCCCTCGAAATGAGACTTAGTGGTTATATAGAATATGCGATGGTATAGTCTCCAGCCACATGATCTCCACCTGTTAAGTATCAAAGATGTTTCTTTTAGTATAAGTCATTCATATGTTATACATCACCACCTTCATTAGTCCACTCTCGGTCATCTCTTTGTAAAGTGAGGAATCCTCATCCTCGACTTATTCTCAACACACTGCTTCTCACTGAGGAGTTAAATGTAGAAATACAAGTAAGTTTAACTTAGTATAAGAAAGAAGGGAAAGCAGTTTTTTTTATATTTATGGACTTGATTTGGTAACATTTTGTTTAGAATTTTTAAATCCATGTTCATGAGTATATTCTGCCTATTTTTTTTTTTTTCTTACTCTCCTGCTTAACCAGGATTATGCTTGTTTCATAAAACAAGCTGAGGAAGTGTTCTGTCTTTCTCTTCTCTGTTCATCTTTGAATGTACTAGTATTTGCCAAGGAAGCCATCTGAGCCTGGAATTTTCTTTTTGGGCATTTTTTGGACTACTCATTCAGATCAGTTTTTAAAATTTTCTGTCTTAAGTTATATTTTTCTAGGAATTGGTTTCTTTCATATACACTGTCAAAGTTTTGGGCATAAGGTTTATAATATCCTTTCAACTTTCATATTATGAGATAAAAACATGTACAGAATAGTGTGTAATCCAGACATTCACAGTTTGACAAATAATTGTAATACAAATACCCATTTATTCACAACTGGGATAAGAAATAGAACATTGCTAGCCTGTCATAAGCTCTTCCCCTACTATTTCGTAATCACAGCTCCTATCCCCTCCTTGACCCATTCACTAACCAATTTTTTGTCCTTTGTCATAACCACTTATTTTCTTTACAGTTTCACCTCCCATGTATACATTCCAGAGAAACATAATTTAGTTTTACTTAATTATGAGCTTTATATGAGTAGAATCATATTTTATGTTTTGTGTTTTCTTTTAGTGAACATTGTAAGATTTATCTGTGTTGTTTGCCAGTAGTTGTAATCATTTTTTTATTGATTTATAAGTACTATTCCAGTGTACGAATATATGATAATTCACATCCGCTTTGCTGTTGATGGACATATTATCTCTTGTTTACCAAAAAAAGAGACATTCTCTAGTATAAAACCAATATTTTTATCACACATGAGATAATAATGATAAATCTCTAATAGAATTTGATTTCCAATTCATATTTAAATTAACCCAGTTGGCACACCAAAATGTATTTTATAGCTCTTTTGTTCCAACTAGAATCAATCAAGATTCATGAATTATATTTGGTTATTATTTCTCTTTAGTCACCTTTTACTTAAACGGTCCTTATACTTTTTTATGACATTGACTTTTTTTTTTTTAAGAATTCAAGTCAATTCTTTATAGAATGTCCTACATTCTAGATTTGCCTCATTGTTTCCTCATGATGGCATTTAGTTAGTTTCTCTAACACCTATAATGACTATCCTGGAAGCTGGTTCTTGTTGAATAAATACAGTCAAATGATTGGGAAGCTCACACATCAGGCTTTGAATAGCATTTAGAGAAAGCTCAAAGACAAGAACAGTGGCAAGTGTGCAGTTTCCACGTTGCCTGCATTCAGGGCTAGTCGCCAGGGGTCTAGCAAGGCCAATGTTAAAATCCAGATGAGGTGCTCCAGCCCTAGGCTATGGGCTTATAAGGTACATGACTGGGAAGTATTAGTCCTTTCCCCAGGACAATGAAGGTAGAGTCTTGATTAATAGCTTTTCAGTCACCTCAGTTTTCATTAGTTGGGAGACCAGCAGCCCTTCCTTCTGGTATGTTCATGGGTTAGGGTTAAAGTTTTGTGATTGTAACTGTATGATATAACAAATCAGTGGCTTCTAGCCTTAACCTGCCAGCACTTACCAGGATTAATTGCCTTGTACATTAAGCTGTAGCTGGTGTCCTTAGAGTTCTGTATGAAGCCAGCTTTCTTTTAGGATGCCAGTTTACAGAGAATCAGTATTGAACAACCTAACTCTTATCTTTATATTTAAAGGTTTGGTTAGATTCTGGCTAAACGTTTTTGTCATAGATGATGTGTACTTTCTGTGGCATCATTTAGCACTGTCAAGTTGTCCTAGTATTAATGATGCTAAATTTGATCACTTATGGTGACAATAGCCATATCTCTATGGTAGAGATGTTTTTTGCTTTAGGATTAGTAAGTAGTGTCTTTTTAATGAAAAAATTGGTAGTCTTTTATAAGTAGTGATTTAACATCTACTTTTTATATTAAAAATATTTGTATTCCTCACTGACTTGTTAGATCTTTGCAACCCAGCAGCTGACAATTGTCAGATGCAAAGCAAAAACAGTTAAATACCTGCTAGCCACTTAGTGCTATCTCTTAGCAAGAGATAATCTGTTTAGTTGGGCAGGTAGTCTGGGAAGAAATCTTTTCCTGATAGTTGGCTTCTGACTGAGATGGAATAACGATTCAATTTTTCCCTCCCACCTATATCAACCAAGAAAATGGACAAAAGTATGAAACATCTGTTTTGAAGTCAAGACATGAGACATGAGGCAGCAAAGGACAGTGATCCCTGAAAGATGAGAAACAAAATGGGCTGTACAACTGGCCAAGCTTTTATTACTTTGAGAGTATTTCCAGGGTGCAGCACAGGGACAGGGAGACAGAATCTGAGTTGAGTACACTTATACATTGCTTTAACAACTGAGATAGGCTCTGAAAAATGCGTCGTTAAGCGATTTTGTCATTGTGGGAACATCATAGAGTGTATTTACACAACCCTAGGTGGTATAGCCTATTGCTCCTAGGCTACAAGCCTGTACAGCATGTTAACTATACTGAATACTGTAGGCAATTGTAATAGTAAGTATTTGTGTGTCTAAATGTATCTAAACATAGAAAAGGTAAAGTAAAAATACAGTATAAAAGATTAAAAAAAAAAAAGAAATGGTACACCTGTATAGGGCACTTAACATGAATAGAGCTTGCAGGACTGGAAGTTGCTCTCAATGAGTCAGTGGTGAGTGAATGTGAAGGCCTAGAATATTACTGTACACTACTGTAAACTTTATGTACACTGTATACTTAGGCTACACTAAATTTAATTTTAAGAAAAAATAATTACACCTACAATGTTATGATGGCTGCAGTGTCACTAGGTAATGAAATTTTTCAGCTCTGTTGGGACACTGGCTTATGGGACTGCTGTTGCATGTATGGTCCATTGTTGACCAAAACGTCATCAGGCAGCGCATGACTATATGTGGAAATGAGAGTGTGGGGAGACCAAGGCAGCTAGAGTTCACAGGACAGACAAAGAGGATAGTGTGGCACAAAGAGAGAACTCCAGATAGCTGTAGAGGGTCCCTTTTGGATATTAAACTAAGACATGGGAGATATAAAAAGACCCAAATGAAACTATGGTGTTTGAGATGAAAAATACACTGGATGGGATTAATGAGAGATTAGACATTGCAGAAGAAAATATAAATAAATTTGGAAAACCATAACAGGAGAAATTTTCCAAAATGAAACAGAGAAAAAGGAGTTAAAACAGAAACAGAGTAACGGTGAGCCATGGGACAACTTCAGGCAGCCTACTATTGCGGGTGTTTTACTTCGTCCCCGTCCTAATCCTTAAGAATAGTAGGAATTGTCTGGGAATTGACCAGAGCTGCTGTGGGGAAACCCTTGAACTTCTACCATGAAGGAACACACATTCAGTGCCAGAACATTATGGCAGTTATAAACCAGTGTTATCCTATATGTGCAAAAGCAACCTTGGATTAAAAACATTTGTTTCTCGTTTCGTTATAATAATGTTAGATAAATAATGTTACTGAAGTAGGCACCTCATTTTCAAATGCTGAATGTGTGTTAAATTTTCGAACTAAGAATAGCTCCATAAGAAAAAATGGGATTTTTAAATGATTATTGTTCAATTTTGAAATGTAGTTTAGATTTCTGGTTTCCGGCCCTTCATAAATTTGGTTACTGGCCCTTCATAAATTTGACCCTTGGAAAATTTTTTAAATGAAGTAATTACATATACCATATACATAAAATAGCATACATAATGTTTATATAATATGAAAAATAATAAAATGAAAATTGTATAAATTACCATCCAACAAAAGAAATAGCACATTGTCAGTGTTGATGAAGCCTCCTGTTTGCCCCTCTCTTTGATATTCCCTTTCTCCACCAGCATAGTCACGTTCTCCCAAGTGAGCTAACTGGCCATCCCTATATAGGGATCTGAACCTGTGGCCTTGGTATTATCAGCACCGTACTCTCCCAAGTGAGCCACAGGCCGGCCCTGGCCTCTGTTATTTTATACTTCCAGTTATGCTAGACATTGTTCTGAATGCTGGATACACAGCAATAAACAAAAGTCTCTTTACAAACTCTTTAGTGAATCTCCACTGTCCACAGGATTAATTCTAAACTCTTTTTGTCATTGGAAATGCTTTTGGCTGAAACTAACAGCCCAGTTTACTGTGGCTTAAACAAATAGGATTCATTTTCTCAAATAGCAAGAAATCCAAAGGTAAACTGCTGCTGACCTTCATTTGACCTTTCCTCGTGGTCTCAAGGTAGCTCCTAGCGTTACTTCTGCATTTCAGTTAAGAAGAAAGGAAAAAGCAGTATATATCGACTTTTTTGATCAGGAAAGCAAAAGCTTTCCCAGAAGCATTCTCACCTCCTACCTGCTCCAGCTGTCTTCCACTTACTTCTAATTGGCCCTAAGTATGTCACATGGCTACCTTAGGCTTCAAGTAAAATTTGAAAATTGTTACCTTTTCCAAGCCTATATGGCAGAAGAGGGCAAGGGAGAAGGAAGGTGAGAGTAGGTTTTGGATTAACCAACGAACAGTGCTTACTACATGTATCTTTCTGCCAGATATCTCTGTCTTTGTTTCTTGCTTCACTCTGCTTAGTGTCTCTATCATTTTTACACAGAATCCCTAGGCTGAAAGAAATGCCAAAACTTCTGTTTATTAAGTAGTTACATCTAAACAACTTAGTAAGTGTCTAGATCCTAACAACCGAGTAGCATTTTAAAAATAAAATACCCATAAATGGAAAGAAAATAATATTTTTATTTCATTCTTAAAAACAATTTTTCTTTTATTTTTTTCTTAAACACAATTTTTTACTAATGGACTATATGTGTCTTTTGGACACTGCACAGTTCCTCAAACCTTAGAGTCAAACTGAGCACAACAACCCACATTTCCAATTTTTCTTTTATTTTTTTCTTAAACACAATTTTTTACTAATGGACTATATGTGTCTTTTAGACACTGCACAGTTCCTCAAACCTTAGAGTCAAACTGAGCACAACAACCCACATTTTCTATTCCACATTGATTTTAACGGCACACTTAACTTTTTATCAAAGCAACTCCTGAAAACCTATCCTCACAAAGGTGTAACATTAAAATGATTTGCAACTGGACTACCTGCAGCTAGAAGTTTGCATTGTGTACAACAGATGTTGTGTGTCACTCTATTTCTCTTGAATATTATTTCATGGCACTTCCTATAAGTTCTTTGCACTGCTTGGGGATACCATGGCACACAGGCTGGGAACTGTAGTCTTAAGTTTTACTTAGCTTGACCAAACTACCTGCAGACCCTCAACTACCTCCATGCTATTTGATACCTTTGATTCTCACACTGTTCTCTCTACATGGAGGGTATACATTCATCTTCCAAGACAAGCTCAAATGAAATCTATCTTTATGAGCTAACTGGAATACTGTTCCCTCCTGTGCTCCATTATACCCTGCATATGATGTATTTTTAGTATCTATAATGCTTTATTGAACTTACTAGCTTACTGGTCTTTTTTCCTCTCCTACGCTGTTATCTCCATCTCTTTACACCAAGCTAGTTCAGCTCAGTGAGAGGCACATAGTAGAGATGTGCTGAATGACTCAATCTGTTTTTTAAGCTGAGGCCAGTGACCTTTCCAGGATTGTATATAACAGCAGTACAATATCAACACTATATATCTTTTGATATAATATTTTTTTCTTTTATAATAATTTTTTTTCTATTCCTCCACTTTTTTCTTTTTTTGGCCTGAAATGTATTTATTTTGCCCCTGTGGGTTGGTATACAATTTTGGATTGACAATTATTTTATTTTTATACATTGAAGAAGTTGTTCCAGTGTCATTGGGTTCCATTGCTCCTGTTGGGAAGTTGCCAGTCAAGTATGTTCCTTTTTCAGGAGATTAGTCTTTTCTCTTTGTCTTTGGTGTTCTGCAGTTTCTCTGTGATATAGAAGGTGAAGACTTTTGTTGGTTTTGTTTGTTTGTTTTCTGTGTTTTTTAAAATCCTTCTTGAGATCCAGGTTTGCTGGATCTACCCATAAAATTATCATGTAAACAAAAAAGTTCCTATCGCCTAGTAATGTCATAGTTGTCGTAATGTTGTAGTGCAGCACATTACTCATGTGTTTGTGATGCTGATGAAAACAATCCTACTGTGATGCCAGTCAGATAAAAGGCTATACCATCTAGGTTTGTGTAAGTACACTCTGATCTCCTCATAATGATGGAATTGCCTGACATGCATTTCTCACAATGTATCCCTACCAATAAGTGAGGCATGATTCATGTGTTGTAATTTTTTTTTCATGTTTCTTAACCTGGCTTTTAGATTTTTTTTAATTTCTTAGTTTCTCTAGACTGCATTCTGGAAAATTTTTTAATATCTAATTTTGGGCTAATTCTTTCTTCAATTATGTCTAATATGTTGCTTAACCTGCCCATTGAGTTTTTTATTTCAATTATTGTTTTTTTTTTCCTAAAAGGTTTTTTTTTGTTTTTTTTTTTTTCTCGTGTCCGGCAACGGATCGCTACCCTCAGTGTCGCGCCCGTACCAGACCGGGACCGGCAACGGGATCGCAACCCTCGGTGCTGCGCCCACACCTCGCTCAGCCAGTGAGCAGGAACCGGTCTGTATGTGGGATCCGAACCCTCGGCGGGAGCGCCGCCGCACTTCCCAAGCGGCGCACTGTAGCAGTGCGCCACTGGGCCGGCCCTTTTCTCTTCTTTTTTTTAAAAAAAA